ACCTCCTCCACTCTTCCAAATTGAACCTTATTCCATTCTTTTATTTTGCCTCTCAACCTTTTTAATTTTTTGTGGAATCTAACCCCATCCCATTTCACTTCTCTCAWCTCTTYAMTCCACCATTCCTTAACCTTAGGCAAGAAGTCTGAGTGTGTCAGCCACATATTTTCAAACCTGAATGGTCTAGGTCCATTACCAAGAGGTTCTTGTCCTAYTTCTATAGGGTAGTGATCAGAGGTTATCCTAAGTAGGGCCTTAGCCACCAAACCTCTCCAGTGGCTCTCCCAACCCTCATTAAATAGGAATCTGTCAAACTTTGAGCATATTGGGTTTTCTTGGAAGTTGGACCAAGTGTAGGTAGCCTGTAGTAGAGGAAGCTCCCGTAACTCACAGGAATTTATGAAGTCATTGAACTTCCTCATACTAATTGTAATGGCTTGCATAGGATTATTTGACTCATTTGTAAATCTTATTGCATTAAAATCACCCCCCAAACACCAAGGACCTTCCCACAAACCTTGAATCCCATGAAGCTCCTCCCAGAACTCATTCATCTCTCTGTGATTATTTGGACCATATACATTTGTTAGCACCCAAGTAAATCCATCTTCCACCATTCTGAATTTTAGGGATACAGTGAAGTTTCCTATTAGCTCCTCTACTAGTTCTCCGAAGTCCTCCCTCCACAAAGTTACTATTCCCCCCGAGGCTCCCCACGACGGAGCTGAGCACCATCTTACCCCTCTTATTTTCCAAATCTCCCTAACCCCACCTTCTATCCAGTTCAGCTAATTTTGTCTCCTGCAACATCACAACATCAGGTCTTTCTCTTCTAAGTAGCTCCTTAATCGATCTCCTTTTTCTGGCACTACCCAAACCCCTTACGTTCCAGCTTATTATCTTCATTACCTCTCAAAAATTTAGCCCTCCAGTAAAGTGTTCCTTCATTTAGAACCCTTCTTTCTTTCCCCTCTACCATTGAACTTGATATCCCCTTCGATGTCCATTATTAATCTCTCTACTTCAGACTGTTTCTTCTTTTTCCTACCCTTGTTTCCCACTGCCTTCCTATTCTGCCCTTTATTTCCTAATTCCTGCCCCAATCTATTGGTTCTTGCCTCTGATTCAGGGTTTTTTGGAGCCACCTCTATCATTTCCTCCTTCTGTTTATATTCCTCTAGTAGGGCACAAATCTGCTCCCAAATCCATTCTAACAACTCTTGTTTCCTTTCTAAGAACCCAACTCTCTTCTCTGATTGGACTCCATCATTATCAATGGCCACTTCCCTACTACTAGTTGGTTGGTCTAGTCGGGATTCCAGGACATCGGTTACAGGCAAAGAACCCAAGTTAGTATCTAAAACCAAATGTACAGGCTTACCTGGAATTAGCATAGATGGTTGCATGTGGACCGGTTGCTGGGTATCAATTCTTGGAGTCAGGACTAGGCCCTTCCCCTTTTCCGGACTCAGCTGTGGAAGCGGACTAGGTACAACCAATACTTCCTCACCCTCTACAGTCAAAGAAACTTCACTTCTCTTTCCCTCTGCGTGAATCCTTGGGTAAGGCTCCAAATTTGATTCCTGTCTCTCTGGCCTGATGTCCTGACTAGGCTGCACATATGGGATGGACTCGTTTATTGGTTGGGATGCACTCCGCCTTCATCACCCCAAAACCGAACTGGAACTATAGATGTGATCATCATGCTTCTTGCAATCTCAACAATGTGTTTATTCTTCCTCTCTGCAACACCATTCTGCTGTGGACTGTAAGAACAGTTGCTCTGATGGACAATACCATATTCTAACAGATATGAAGCAAGGTGTTTTTCAAAATATTCCCTGGCATTGTCTGATCTGAACACCTTTATTCGTAWYCYAAACTGTRTTAGCACCATCTGATGAAATTGCCTTAYYAAGGATGGTACCTCATCTCGGGATCTCATTAAGTAAATCCAAGAATATCGAGAGAAATCATCCACAAATAAGAGAAAATATCGATAACCACCCATAGAAGGAACATGATAAGGTCCCCACACATCAAAATGAATAACATCAAAAAGAGATGAACATCTTTTATTATTAGCTTTAAAGGAATGTCTACAATGCTTTTCAAGTTGACAACCTTCACACTCCAGACTTGACAAATTAACAGACTCAAATAGCTTTGGAAACAAAAAAAATCAAAGAAAAAGGCAAATGACCTAAGCGATTATGCCAAAGCATAATCTGACTCACAGACCCGACTCACTATCCCTGCTGACATGATGACCCTAATGAGGAGGAAGCACATCTAGGAGGTAGATTCCATTCACGTCACAACCACTCCCAATCTCTTTGAATCCAGATCCTGCAAGATACAATGACCAGGAGAAAAAATTACTAAACGATTCAAGTTCTTAATCAAACTACTAACGGATAATAGATTAGTACTCAATCTGGGAACATGAAAGACAGAGGGAAGGGAAGTGGAATCACTAATCTTGACAGACCCCTTCCCAGCAATGGGAACATAAGATCCATCAGTTGTGGAGACTGTCTTTGCCAGAACAGAGCTGGTAAGAAGAAAAGATAATGGAACTATGGGTCATGTGCTCTGAGGCTCCAGAATCTATAATCCAAGAAACATAATTTGCAATGGTATGTGAACTACCTGTATGAGCAAAGAAAGTAGAGTGTGCTCCACCAAAACCACCTGTACCTAGCTGTCCACCTGTTACTGAACTAGAACCGGCTATATCCCGTTGGTTTAGAAACCGCCCATATCTCTCAAGTTCGGCCCTCACTTCAACAGTTGCAACAGACTCCAGAGTAGCTGTGTAGGAGGGGTCGGTATGCCACCAGTGACTACCATGTGAGCATTTCCTTTCTTGTTTTTGAGTCTATTCGGCACAAGATGGGGATGAAACTTCCAGCAAGTATCTCTTGTGTGTTTGGGCTTCTTACAGTAGTCACAAATCAAATCCTTTTTGTCTTCCTTCTTGATATCACTGCCACCCCGATCTCCACCTTGTTTAGGTCTCACAGTGCTAACCATGGCTGATTGATCAAAACCAAAATTTTTCATCATCACATTTCTCCTGCTCTCTTCCCCTGACACAAAGGCATATGCTTGGGAGAAAGTAACAATGTCCCTGGAAAGAATATGTTGTCTTGCAATATCATACTTGGGATTAAGGCCAGCAAGAAATTCAAACACCCTATACTTCTCTAGGAGCTTCTGGTAGGCAGTTGCATCCTTAGTGGTTTCCCAAACAACTGTCTCCAAATGGTCAATCTCCTGCCACAGGGCTTTAAGGGCTGAAAAGTAAACAGCAATAGGTCTATCTCCCTAGAAGCAGATCACCACCCACCATTCCCCTTCCACCTATTGGGAGCAAATTGAAGTTGGCAGCACTCCCAACTTCACTCTAGTCTTTCTAAGGACCCTTGAATCCCAAATGATAACCAATCTCTTAATAGACCACTTAAGTTTGTTCTTCAATCTCAGCTCAAGAGGCTCCAGCTTCATCTCTTGCAACATCATTACCTCTAGATTGTTTTTTCTCAGAATATTCCTTACAACCATTCTTCTTCTTTCATCTCTCGGGCCTCTAACCATCCAAGATACTAGCTTCAACTTCAACTTTAAACTCCACAGCCACTGCCACTAAGCTTTAGCATTCTCCCTCTACTCTTCATCAATTATTCCCTCTTTCCCCCCTTCTTCCCCTTCCTCCCAAGCCTCACCCCCTTCCCTGATGAGATTCCTTTTGTTTTGTTCTCTTCTACTTTTCTCAAATTGTTCAATTGCCTTCCTCACAATCCCTTCCCCTCCTAGGAAGAATAGGCCCAAAGAATTCCATGAAAACATTAAAAAAATGGGTTTAGAAAAAAACACTAAAAAAACTGGGAAAACTTGGAAGGACTAATCCATGAAATTCCAAGTGAAGAAAATATTTTTATAGATCTAAATAGGCATGTGGGGGAAAAGTGCAGGATATGGTATGGTGCATGGAGGGTTTGGGTTCAAGGAGAGCAATGAAACAACAAATACAATTTTAGAATTTGCAATTGCTTATGATATGGCAATAGTATATACATATTTTAAAAAGAAGGATGGACATTTAATAATTAAATTTATGAAATATCATAAGTGCACTGTATGGAGTTGCACAATCAATGCAATTGGCAGAACAACATTTTATTTTGCACCAACTGAAGGTTGCCAAAAGAAGATGCTTTAGTGCATGTTTGATGCACATTACTAGATGATTAGTCACTTTCAAAGTCTAATGTTTTTTCACTTTATTTTTCTTTGACAGGTTGTAGACCATGATAGGCAAAAGGGCTAACATACTGAAACATGGAAATGCAAAATTAACCATGCATATTATTTGAAATCAGGGGCAAGGCCATACCTTTGAGACAACATCACCCTTGCGAATCCGAAGTTCAAATGGATTAAGTTCATATTCTGGAACTTCTCGAGGGTTTGATACAGCCATTGGCGTCTTCGTGATTTTCTGCAAGTACATATTGGATAAGCATTCTAAATTAGTGAGATGACTTATCAAGGATGTTTCAGCATTATCCATCAAAACATTAGGAAAACATTGAAATGGTACCGGAACTTTGGCTCCTCTAGCTTTCAAAATGTTGTAAACTTCAACATTTCCATAAAATTTAGCATCAGCAGCTGCCTGCCATGAGAGACAATGCTTTGTCAAGTTAAATACAAAAGAGCAGTATCAGAATTCATAATTTCTGTTTGATATGGTGGCATTAATTTAGTTTGACTTCCAAAAGACACCAACACAGTGAATTTAAGAATAGATAAGAAAGGAAAATACAACACAATACAGATAGGAAGCACTACTATCAATTAATATTTCAAGAGATTGTAGTAGTGGCATATTTGAACTAACAATTAACAACCATCAACAATAATAAACTTCAAAAAAAAAAAACAGAAATTTCAAACAAGCAAACAAAATAATAGAAAGAGAACGATATTTTGCAGCAATCAATGGAAGTAGACTGAGAGCATGTTGCCAAAATCTTACAATTTATGATACGATTCATGATTTGAATCATGAATGCCAAGGTTTTGATTTGAATCATATGTCTAAATCCTTCTCAGGAAAAAACCTCATGATTTTTATTTGAATCCTACAATTTGATTCATGAATCTTGCAATTTATATTATTCTTCAATACACTGTGATTCAATGCCCTCACTAGAAAATTTATATTGCAATTTATATTCATGAATCTTGCAATTTATTTAGTTTTGTCAAGGGAGACTTGTTTTAATGCCCTCACTAGAAAATGATTTATTTATGAAACTTAGGACCAAACTTTCGTTTATTTTTTATCATATGTAACTTAAAGACACTGCTTAGAAAACCGGACCAGATCGGCCAGTTGACCCAGTTGAACCATGACCTAGACCTCTAGCCGGTTCAGTCATACCCTGAAAACCATAATTCATGAAAAAATGGCCAAAACCAACAGACCGGTCAGTTTAACTGAAAAACTGGTGAACTGGGCCCAGTTTTATAAAACCACCAGGTCATCAAATGAATAGAAATTTCAAAATGGTAATGGCAAGAAATGAACCAAAGACCTCTTATTTATATGCATTGTCTTCTTACCATCAATCCAATCTCTTTATTTTTGTTCATTTATGCCTTTTTAATGTATAAATTGCTTTAATACACATGTATTTTAAAGAAAATATGAGTTGAGAGGTTTGAATTCTAGTCACTTGTTTTAAAAACTTAAGAACTAGCCATGTATCCACCACAATCAAGTGTAATAATATTTGTAATTATGTGACCCACAATATATATGTTACATCTTCACGATTCAGCCTCCGGTTTGACCACAGTCGAACCTCTAACCCATGAATGTCTCCTTTTCCAGTTCTATGCCCGGTACGGTTCTCTGAGACATTGGTTAAAGAGCCATTGTATGTGGATTATTTGACTCTAAGTCAAATTTGAGTATATCATCTTAGGATTCTATTGTACAAGTGGTAAACTCTGTTGCTTTTAGACACATATATGGTAGATATGGATTAAAAACAGGGTAAACTCACTTTCCTATATATATTTAGCCTTTTAGTATATCTAATATTTAATTGTTGACAAGCTTATAAAAAAATAATCTTATGATTTACTATACAATTCATGATTTGATTTGACTCAACTTTCTCTATGATTTACGATATGATTATGATTTTGAGAACATCAATTGAGAGCAAAGAAACCAGTTCTGAATAACATTCAACTAGAGAAAACAATTTCGGAAAACCAAATTTTATTGTTGAAACCAAAAATAAGTTCAATATGAATAAAATTAATCATGCACATGATTGACCAAAACCAGAAACTAATAATGCACATGAACATTGTTAAGACCCTTTATAATCTCATAACCCTATAAAACATCAATATTAGGTGTCTCAATGATTCAGATACGGGAGAAAGGAAAGAAACTGTGGATAAGCAAATAGGACTGCAAATGAATCGGATTTTATCCAATTAGATTCAAATCTGATCCATTTAAATCAAATTTGAATCACCAAATTACACACAAAATCCCAATTCAATCCATTATGTATGTTTGTGCATATATATATATATATATATATATATATATATATTATATATATATGATCAACAAGGAAAATTTTATTAAATGGAAATTGAGATTAATACAACAAGATGGAAAAACCAACAACCCAAGAATATAAAAGCTTACAATGATGCCTAAATTAATTGTCGTCGCATGACCCCTTGTTTTGCTAGTGTATCAGTCATCCTATTTGCAGCTCTTCCCACCCACTTAAATTCAACCGTTTAAGTCCTTTGAGATACTCTTTTTGAAGATAAATAAAGAAGAAAATTTATTAAGTAAAGAGTAAGCAGGATACAAATGTAGGTGATGAGCAACCACCCTGAAGAAAGAAGAAAAAAGCTACAATCTTCCAACCCTCAAAGGAAAAACTTTCCACTTCCTTAAAAGCATGCCTAAAATTCCTGGATGACAGCTGCACAAGTGCATATTGCCCATGGAATGATCAAGTTTGAGTCCCTTCCACCTCTAACTGTTGGAAACCCAATTGCTTTGCTAATTGTAGGCCATAGTTGTCAAGGCGACGCCTAGGCGACGAGGCGCCCTTGGGGGCTTGCCTCGCCCAGTCGCCAAGCAGTTTTGTGCACTGGGTTATAAAATACTTTTATATTTTTAATTTTTTGACATTATAATTATAAAATAGACATTATTAAACTAGAATATTCATTTTATGTGTTTATATACTAATTTCCTTTTATTATTTTCTTATTTTGTTAGGGTTTAATCAACGCAAACAACTGCTGTATTGAACCCATGGTTCAAAGTATTGATATACCTCTGTGTATTGGCAGAGGTGTATCGGTACTTATAAAGATACACCCCCTATATTTTTGATTTCTTTGGTTTTCAATTTCATTTTTAAATATATATATATATATATTATTTAAAAAAATGGGTCCCCGAAAACACCTGTAAACAGGTATCGGGACCCCAAAGATAGAATACAATACACCTGATACGGGGCGTATCGTATCGAAATTTTGATCCTTGATTGAACCCTCAAAAATTTCAAAACCTGAACAAATAAGCAAGGGAAGAACTTAAAATTTTGTCTAATCAACACATTTTCTTCTCCCACATCTTCTTCTTCTTCTTCTTCTTCTTCTTCTTCTTCTTCCACCTTTTCTTTTCTTTTCTTCTTTCCTATAATAAAAGTAGGGGTTCAGCCCCTATATTTTTTGAATTTTCTTTCCTTTGTTCTTTTTCTTCTCATAAAATGTTGATTTTCTAGACTTAAACATGAAATTTATACTTTTATTATGAAAATTATGAATAATTATTAAGGAAAAATGGTAATGGAACCTAGGGAACTACCCTAGGATATATGGTTTTACTCAAAAAAAAAAAAAATCCATCGCCTAGGTGGGCACCTCTAGGCGACAAGGTGCCCCCCTCCCTGTCACCTAGCCTCACCTTGGCGCCTTGAAAACTATGTTGTAGGCCTTGCAGCAATACCATCAATTTGGCTTTCAAAGAATTTCCTTTTCCAATAGGCCCTAATAGAAGAACCTAAATCATTACCTATCACCTAATGACTCTCCTAAGTAGAGGAAATTTATGAAGTATATATATAAATATATATATATATATATATATATATATTATGTAATATAATATAGTCAGGGCGGGTTTGGGGTCGGGGCCCGGGCCCCACGGTGACAGGTCAAATTGCCATCTCTACTTCACCTTAGATACCGTACCTTTTGGATAAATAGAATGATAGAAATTGCCTAGATTTGATGACTTAGGAAGAATGTGAGAACAAACTGAGTATTCCCTGGTGTTGGGATGCACATGTAAGTAGGTGCATGGAATGAGGAGTGAAATAAGTCCCACATTGGAAAACACAAGAAGTGAAGTAGAATGGATTATATACAAAGAGTGGCTCATAAGCCAATAGTTTAGGCTTTTGGGTTGTAAGTGGTGTTCATCTCTTGTTTACAACTCTTACGCACGGGTACGTGAATGAGCCCCCGGTTTTGGCGACTCCTCATGGTCCGTGACCCTCCTCGAGGCACAAGACCTGGAATAACTCCAAAATTGTCCACCTACCAAGGAAAAACTTACATTTTGCAAAATTAGCGGTTGGTTTTAGAACTAAAGTCGCTCAAGTATAATTCAGCACAGAAAGAATAGAACAAGAATGCAGGACTAGAAAGAGAGCAAGAAGAGAAACTGTACCGTACTCCCCCACCGATCACGGGCATCTATATTGGCCTTCCGGCTGAGCAGAAGTTTCACAACTTCAGCATGCCCCTCACAAGCAGCAATATGCAAAGCAGTTCGACCATCCAAATCAATGCTATTTACATCAATACCCTCATTCAGTAAATCCTCCACTCCCTTCACATCCCCCCTGCAGGCCATGAACAGCAGCTGCATAGTGGAATCGAGATTATCCGGCACGGTGAGTTCCTCCACGGAGGGGCTCCGACGATTCGGATCGAGCGAAGACTGTCTCCCAAAACTGAAGCGGAAAGTATTCCGTGTGGGGTCTAACGAAGCCTGACGAGTGAAGCTGAACTTCCCACTTTTCCTCAACGAACCCATCGAGAACTGCCGGGAGATTCCCCGCTTTAACTTAGCAGCGATATCCATTTCCACGAGTTGAGTACTCAAAACAAGTCCTGATTTCCGGAATTACTCAACAACCAGCTGTCATAGTCGCATAAAAACCTTCAGCAGAAAAAATGTAGACCAAAACAACAACCTATTTCTGAATCAAAATCGGCCGTAGAAACCAGAAACTTCTGAAACGCCTTCCAAGAGACCCTTCACGTGAATCGAAATTAGGAACTTGGAGGAAAGATGGAGAGCTCGACCGAGAGCTCCAGAACCAGAAATGGAGAGACAAATTCAAGATCAGAAATGGAAATCGCTATAGAACATACAACAGACAAAGATGATAAGCCAAAAAGGCCTAGATCCGTCTAAGACGTTAGAGGATCGTATAAATGCAGCTTATGAAGAGGAATCGTAGCTTTGAAGAAGAAGAAGCAGCATGGAATATGGATGGTATGGTCGCCAAACGGAAATCTCTGAAAAACGTCGTCTTTGCTTTAATTATTGCTGTTATTTAATTAAATAAAATCCGTCTTTGCTTTAATTATTGCTGTTAGTTAATTAAAGTATTAATTCTACGTCCATTTATGGTGCAAGGAGACAATAAACAATAATGTGGGGTATGGTCTCTTTCTCTGACACACTCAACTGCCACAGGTGTACAGGTGCGTAATACGCATCCCGTTGACGATGAGTCGACGGCTCCACCGACTTCTCAATCGAATTTCGATTCTTAATTTGTGTTCAATAGTAACTTTACACGTCGTAATCTTTCAATCAAAATTGCCCGTCAACAGAAGGATAACTTGCCACGTGTTAAGAGTTTAGATGAGAACAGGATCCATTAATCGTGTTCAATCAACGATGAATATTATACCTGATAAGGATAGCTTTTGGGTCTTTATTATCAATAAAATATAATTTTTAAAATAAAATAACTTTTTAAAAAATATATTAAAAAGAGTAAAAAATACTGTTCATCTGACTGTTTTCCATTCTTTTGTTTCGTGGGGGCCACCATCTCTGATGTGAGAAAGGCCTTCTCTTCCCCTTTTTTATCAAATATATGTTATTTATCAAGGGCCAGACCTAGAGTTTTTGTGTAAAACTCTAATGAATTCGGTTGACACGCATCACCGAACATTGCGGTGAAGACCACATCGACGACAATGCAGGATGTAGTACGGTAACTTGCTGGCACATTAATTCATTGTAAAATATAATGACCTCTCTTGAATTTTTTTTGACAATCATAAAAATCTATTTTTTGTTTTTACTTTAACAAAAACACCCCTGTATCTTTTTTAAAAATATACAGTTACGGAGTTGCCTCCCTCCCATCATTTCCCAATATATAAAATGTTGATTTAATATTTTACGGGCCCATGAATTTAAGCCCGCGGCCCGGCCCTCCTTTGATTCTTCGTTGTGGTGGTTCTTGAAACCTCATCACCTGAGGGCTTTTTCCGCTTGTCCTCCATCCCTCCATCATTACAGTGTTCAAATGGGTACTCAAGCCAAACAGTAAGTCGGTTGGTAATTGTTGCTGCTTAGGATGGGTCGAGAGCAATAAGGTAATTTCGCTTCTGAGCCGAGGGTTAATAAGTCATGTCTACGGAGAACGTAGAGGCCCGGGGTGAGTACCCGAGGCTTTTGAAAACCATGGCGCCTACATCAGATATCTACTATTCCATCCAATAAAATACAGTAAAATCCCATGGTAATCTGTCCACAGTGACTTTTAATCAAACAGATAGCATACATCCAATATATACGCAAGTACGTAACAACATTGTCTTACACGGGCTTTTCGTCTCTTTGGTGAATATTCTATAATAGAGATAATTTTGGTTAAAATTTCTATGTGATACGTCTCTCTAATCCTAGGGTAGGTGAGAAAGGATAATCGATGATTATAACCTACCTTCTCAAATAAGTAAAAGGGGTTCTTGCCGATATGGGCAACTTTTAGCCCCTAATACCAATAAAAATAAATTTTGTATTATAATTTTTAGAATAAATTACTTTTTTGAAAAAGAAATAATAAATGCAAAAATACTGTTCATCTCCTTCCTCTTTTGAATGGCGAACAACGGTGGCAAGCCTTTCCCACCTCAGATCTCCCCCACCTCTCTTATTCTTCTTGTTCTTCTTCTCTGCATCTGAGTTCTTCCAAACTTAAAACAGAGCATAGTTTCCCTCTCCACTTACTATAACCTACTCGCTCTATTTGACTCAGCTTGTCGTAGATGATAAACCATCTTATCCTCTTGCTCGGCGTCTCATTGAAAACCCAACCTTCGAATCCTAAGCTGAAGCTGTGCTACGGCTGCTAAAAAGCTCACAGTCTGAACAGGGCTTAGTATCCGAATCACTTTGGTTGCAATGTTTGCTTGTATCATGTCTGCACTCCCCAGCAAAATCTAAAACTCAGTTATTGATGTAGCACAATCCGGTCGGTCCTATCTGTCAACGACCTTGCCTCTGACTGGAGCAACAAGTGCCTGAAACGGAGAAGAAGGCGAGGAATCTCCGGGGAGGAACCCGGCGAGATTGCTCCGAAGCTCAAGTTAGTATTTTCTCAAAGGCAAGATCAAAACCAGATAGCGCAAAGTTATCACGTACCTCCTTCTTGGGGGGGAAGAGAGCCTATTATAACCACTTCGCGCACTCACTCCCAAGCTCTTGTCAGGTCGGGTATCATTACCTCTGCACTTTTACCAGTTCGGGTGTCATCACCTCTGCTCTGGCAGGCAACCGCCACTGCTCTCTCTGTCGGAGTCGTCTCTGTGACTGGAGGTGGCGGTGGCAGGTGGCCGTTGAAGTGCGGCTATCAAGCGTCAGATCCTAAGTCAGTCAGGTGCGCCGCTTCAGGATACAGACTCCTTTGGTGTCAGGTACGATCGTTCAGTTCGGCGGCCTGGAGACAAAGTGCTGGAGTGGTGTGCGAGGTGAAGTCTTGAGTTCGGATAGAGGTGTGACCCGAACTGCCCTAGGGTGGGCCAGTTCGGGTTGTTGCCCTTTGCGCTCCTTGCATGGCTCGGGGTCAAAGGGGGAGTTCGGGCTCCTTTTGGGGAGTTTGGACCGTAGGTTCCTCCTCTCGGAGCTCGCGCCTTGAGCGTACTGCCATGCCGAGCTGTTGCTTCTGCCACGTGTTGGGTGGTTAAGAGGTCGAGCCAAATCTTCCTTCATCAATTGCCCCTCACTCCTCGCGCTAAGGGGCTTGCCCTGGCGTGGGGAGTTCGCGAGGTGGCGGGTGGATTTGACCCGTACTTCGAACCAGTTGACTGATAGCGCGAAGTGTGCGTTCGTCAGGAGACTTCCAAGTTTCTCTAAGCACCAAAAAGTCAGGAAGCGCGCCAATTCGCCTTTAAATGCTGGGAGACGTGACAGTGCGCGTTATTTCAAAATTTAAAAAACGCGCCGCTGGGAGACGTGCGCCGGCGCTGCTCTAGTTTCAAACGACGTGCGGCCAGTTACGTTTCGGTCTTAGGAGGCGTGCGGTTAGCTTGATCGTGGGCCATTGGATTTGCCTCGATCAGAGCCGTCGATTTTCGGTCACTGTGGGTATAAATAGTGGGGGACCCCCAGTTGCTTTCCATTGCCATTCTCCTGCGTTTGCTTCTTGAGCTTGCGTCCAAGTTTTTAGCTCGTGTCAACCTTCCATAGTCCGTTTGCTTTTTTCCGGGTGAGTCGGTACTTTCTTCCTAGTATTCTTTTCCTCCCGATGTCTGGTTCGGACAGCTCAGACAGTTGTTCGAGGGGGTCAGATGTAGGTTCTACGAACCGAGCTACAACCCCAGACAGCCTTAGTGAACCCAAGGTAGAGCTCAAGGAGGAGCTCGAGGAAGATTTCAAACCCGTAGGCCGAGTTGCCTCAGGTAGTTTGGCATCCTCCTCCCGTTGAGGTCGAACATTAGACATGTTCGAGCCCTCAACCATGACGCCTGAGGGACTTTACTCCCTAATCACCCAGTTTAACCTGCCCGGGGAGTATACTTACTTTATACCCTCGAGGGACTTCCCATGGGAACACGGTCCTGACAAGATCATGATATTTCGGGAGCAACTCCTCGCTGGGTTGCGCCTACCTTTCCACCCCCTCATCGTCGAGGTTATGAACCACTTCGGCGTTACCGTCGGTCAGCTCCACCCGAATTCTATTCGTAATTTGGTTGGGACTATCTCCCTCTTCTACGAACAGATTTTACCTTTAGACCTGGAGATCTTTTCCTCCATTCTAATGCTTAAGAAGCAAGCGGGTCCCCTTCCCGGGTGTAGGCGGGCAAACTACCAGTCTCCTCGCCTGGGTTTCAAGCTTTTACATGATCTTCCCAACAAGGTCCCGGCGTGGAAACGGGACTATTTCGGGGTGCGAAGTGCAATGGGGTGGCCATTCCAAACCAGGTGGGGGATGGCTGCCCCCGATGCCGGTGTTACGCTAGATAGGGAGACAGCGAAGGGCCTCCGGGAATGGGCCCGACTTGGGCTAAAATGCCACCATTATCTGACGGAGGCCAAGCTCATCCAAGCCGCCCTGAGTTCGGGTAGGTTCCTTGCTCAGAGGCTTGCCTTTTGTTTTGCTTTCCGTTCTTTCGTTTTTCTGATGTCGAGCTCTTTTTGCAGGTGTGATGGACGCAGAAAAGACTCGCGGTGGGAACCTGTTTCATGCCATGAAGAGGAGGAAGCGAGTTGCCAAACGAACTCATGCCGAACTTCCCCGAGATGCGGAGCCCGAAGTACCGGGCTACACGCCAGTGGATCCGCCCAGGGAGCCCGAGATGGCCCCTCCAATACAAGAAGCGGCGGGGGCTCCTTATGCCGAGGCTGCTTATACGGGGGCTCCTCCATACACTGAGACTACTTATATGGGGGCTCCTCCATACACTGAGACTGCTTATACGCGAGCTGGCCCTTCAGGCTCGGGAGGCCAAGGCGAGTTCAGGAGCGTGTTATCGCCGAACCACGCTCTTCAAAAAAGTAGGGAGGCCGTTTACCCTGAGGAGGTCGCAGCGTGGACTGAGCTTCCTTTGAACCATGCAGTCGGGCGTGCTGCCTCTTATGCCATGGTGGTAAGTCAACAACTTCTTGTCGGGCTCCTTGTCATTACCTTTCTTGCTATTGTTCTTTGAACATTCTCGTTATTTTTCCTTTTGGTAGGTGAACTCCTCCATCCATGCCTTAGCGGCCCAAGCGGAAAGGAGCTCGAGGCGGGCACGAGTTGCCGAAGAGGTTTCCTGGGCCGCCGAAGCGGCTTCTCGCGCTGCACAGGCCAGGCTGGCGAGGTCTCAGAGAGACACCGAGGCCATGGGAGTGGTGGTGAAGCACATGGCGGACCTGAGGCTGGACTTGCAGCATCAGGTCGAATACCTTGAAGAGGATATTAGGGAGAGGACAAAGATCTTTTCTCAGGGCATTGAGGATGCCAAGAAGAAGGCCGTTGAAGATTATATCGCCTCGCCGCACTTTGACGACCTGATGGTGGGCTCGTACAGAA